GGCTGAGTGGCTCAGTTGGTTAAGAGCTCGCTCAAAGGTTTGAGCTCTGAGCAACAGCGGTTCGAGTCTGGCCCAAGCTGAGCTGCCGCTGAGCTGCCAACAGGTGGCAGGATGGCTCAGCTAAAAATAAATAAATAAATAAAATTAAAAACAAAACAAAACATTTATATAGATACGGAATTAGTAATACCCATGTATAATGCACATCCTTATTTTTCCCCCCACAAGTTTAGTCCCAAAAAGTGAACATTATACACGGCAAAATATGGTAGATAGGAATTCCTGCTATGTGTAAGGTCCTGTGCTAGGTGCTGACCCAGATGGGGTTCCCAAAATGAACCACTGTCTCCTGGGGGAGAGATATCATGCCACCATCTTACATTTTGTCATATGTCATTATAACTGGTTTTGAGACCCAGAAGAGCACAAGAAAACCCTGGAAAGGCTCACATGCTAATCCCAGAGGGTTTTCTCCCCTCTAATTACCTCTGTCCTGTCCTTCACCCCATTCCTGACTTCATTTCACCTGCCTAGTTCTTTTCTTCTGTTCCTCTTTTTTTCCACTTTTCTTTCTCATCCACAGACAACTCCAAAGGGACAGTGGGCAGGAGAGGGTCAATGTAGGGTTGGTTAATGTTGGTGTGAGGGCCTCAAAAATCCTGATAAAGAGAAAATAGTAAAACTTAAATTCAAATGACCCCTGAGCTAATGCACATTAGAAACTTGGATGCACACTCACTGACGTTTCCAGCTGGCTCTTTATGGCACCATATTCCTCTCTCTCCAATCCAAATAATTTTAAGATGTATTCCAGGACTCAAAGCTAGGATTGTTTCCATTTAATTTCCTGGTATGAATTAAAAGAATCCATTTAGTGGGCTTAATATTTATAAGTTCATCTCTTTCTACTCACAGCATTTTTAACACGGAATCATTCTTAATGCCAAAAATATTTTAATGGTTTATATTTTAGCACTAGCATCCTGAGGTATTTTTCCAAAAGTACAGTTTTACTTTTTCAAAATGAATGAAATCTCTGTCTACTATTATTTCAATACTAAATAATTAGCTTGGGTGGAGCATTAACATTGACTTTTCCCCCCCCAGAGGCTAATTTTTCTGCGGGGGAAAAAAAGAAAAGGATCTCCACGTGTTTTCCGTATTTGTTTAAAAATGAACAGAGTAAGGATATTTCTTTTCCAAGGAATCCCACTTGTTTTGGCAGTGCTTTCAAAGACATGTTTCTGTGTACATTAAGACCAAAGTTATGCAATGCTTTTTATATCCTAGTTACACCCACACTGTGCCTGGCCCCAGGGTAAAACAAAGAGTTTCAACTGCAATTTCAGGAGAAGCTTTCCACATACATCAGGGCAAGGGAAGGTCCCAGCCTCTCCCATGGCTCAGTTAAAAGTCAGCTCAGTTAAGCAAAGCTTCTCAGTTCTAGCTTGGTCCTCTTGTTCTCACATGGACATGTGTCTGTGAGCAGAGCTCTATATGACCCTTGAGGTCTTAGTATGTTGAGAACCTTCTAAGTGTTGACTCTAAAAATCACTGCAGGTGGCTTTCTGTGGGGGAAATAATTCTGCAAATTCATTGTGTAAACACTTGTTGAAGCCAGCTGTTGTGTTCATATCAAAACCGTCTTATTGGACTTAAAAGATGCAAAAACAATTGGATTTCATGCATCTTGTTTGTCAGACTGCAGTCTGATAGTCATTTGCTTTTTTCACACACCAACACCTGAAGCCAAGGAATCAAGAATTGGGGTTCCACCTCCATCAATCCCTTTTCCTGAAATCATCAATACATAATCTTGTCTTCCGCTTTACAGAAAAGATCAGAAATTCCCTCAAAAATGTCTTTTCTCCACCTCCAAATCGACATGTTTTCACCTTCTCTTTCTTCCTTCACTGTTTCTAACCTCTTCAGCTTCATCCCTGAGCCCATGTCTCCCCATGACGTGGAGGCCTTGCTTCAACATTTCTCTTCCTTCCAGTCTTCACTCTCTCCTTGTCCCCTGCTTACTTCTCTTCTGCCTGCTAGAGTAGAACACATTTTCCTATATTTTATTTGATTATAGATATGGTTTTTCATGCTTAGATCATTGTCCTTCTACTTACTGAATAGGTCAGTCTTTCCCCCGCTGGTTGAAAAAGCCACTTTTATCATCTACAAAACCTCCACGTATATATGGAACTGGTTCTATTCCATTCCATTGATCTATTTCTACATTAACCACATAGTCTTAAATTATTGGGTCGTCAGAAAAGTCATGACATATTTTTTCTGTTTTCTATGCAAAAATGCATCATGACTTTTCCGACGACCCAATACTATAGCTTAGTATATATTTTGAAATGTATCTTGTTTTTAAATCTTTCTTTAGCTCTTACTAAAACTTTATAATCAGCTCACCAAATTTCCTTAATAAAATTCCATTAGAATTTTGTTCAGGATTATGTTGCAGTCACAGATTAGTTTGGGAAGAGTTAAAATCTTTGCAATGAGTATTCCCCTCCAGGAGTATGTTTTCTTCATGTAGATTTTACACATTTTTTGTAAATTTGTTCCTAACTCTTTGATAGTTTTTCTGAGTATTGTTTATGTTTCCCCTAATTGAGGTACAAGAAATAAAGAAAATTGTATATTTAACTACCTTATGCAATTCTTTTCTTAGTATTTTGTTGATTTTCAATTAATTGTCTTAGTTTTTAGGTATGATAGTCATAGCATTTGAAAAGAATTGTAGGGTCCTCCCATTCCCAATTTCTCTCTAAATATTTATACTTTATATCTTTTCTTTCGTCCAGTTCTTATATAGCACATTTCTTTGTATTGTTTTATTTCATTTGCTAGGTTTTCTAGAAAAATGTTGAATAATACTAATGAAAATAAGTATTCTTGTCACATCCCTAGCAGTAATGGGAAATGCTTCCAAGTATGATGACTGCTGTAGGTTCAAGTACATAAGCTTAATTGGGGTGTTTGGTTTTTTTAAATTTAGACAAATATTTAATCAAATGAGACTTAGAAATCTAGTTTATCTCCTTTAATCTATTAACGTAATGAAATACTTCAATAAATATCCTAATTTTTTTNGATTACATTTTCTATTTCTGAGAAAAATGCCCTAGGTAGTTTGATGGGAATTGCATTGAATCTATATATTGCTTTAGGCAATACTACCTCATCCTTCTTCAGTTCCTCTCTCCTGCTGTTGCCTTCCATTGGCTGAAACCAACCAAAGCTTGGGCAATGGAGCCCACTGATGCAGTCTGTTGAAGGTCAGCCTCCTAGCTGGGGCACAGAGAAAGACGGGGGAGAGAACTGGAAAACATCTACCACACTTGCCGTTTTTTATACCCAATATGCAATATGTTTCCAAACTTGTTTATTCATTTTTAATAATAATGATGATGATGACAGCTACCATCTATTGAGTATGTACTATGCTCCTGGCACTAAGCATTATCTCATTTAATTTTCACATTATGAGGTAAGGGCTATTAATATCTCAGATAAGAAAACTGAAGCTTAGAATTCAAGTTCACTAAAATCATACAATCAGTAGGTGACCGAATTTGAACTTGAACTTTGGTGGGTCTGATCCTATGACCCCACTACGCTATATTCCTGCCCTTGGCAATATCTCTCCAATTCATCCTTCCTTTTCCATTTTCATAGATACCGCCTGGTCCAGGCCCTCTTGAACTTCCGTCAAGCCTGACTTAAGTTTTACTTTTTCCATTGAACCATGGCAAAGTACTCTGATCCAAGGTCTCTTTCCCCTACTGGACTAGATTCCCTGAGACCAGGGACCATGGATGATACACTTTTTTAATCTCTCACACTTTCAGCCCAGGGCCAGACAGAGGCAGCGCTCAGGGGATGTTTAGCAACTGGGACTGTGGGACTAAAATCTCTCTACATTAAGACAAGACACTGACCTGCATGGTTTAAACATTCATATGGGCGAGGCTGTACGTGGTGACTTCTGGGAGGCTCATTCGCAGCTTTTGGCTAAACTTCCAGCTGTTCCTTCCCCATCTCACCCTCTAAGTGCCACAGAATCAAACCCAGGTCCTCTAACTTCAATTCCTTTTCAAGATCCATGTGGCATGACACATATAATACTTCCTAGAGCTCCAATTTCCTCCTTTATAAAACTGAGAAAATAAAATCTACTTTGCAACATTTACAACACTGAGGTGCAGATTAAATCAGATAATGACTGGGCAAGGTGTTCTATAAACTACAAATCATTCTGCAAATATGTAGGGTTATTAATGTCCCATTAAAGGAAGAAGAAGAAACTGTACTTTTCAGCTCCATGTTACGAGGGTGATGTGAATGCTGAGATGGCTCTTGTCTGTACTTTAGAGGTCAGACTTTGAAACAAAACAATCGCCAAAAAAAGGAGGGTGGCTTCGTTTTGACACTACCACAGGGTACACCCTCATTGGTTTTTGGGGAAAACAATTACACGCGTCGGTTTACATGGGAATGATTCCAGTGACTTCTCTGCCATGTACAGGTCCTGGAGAAGCTGCAGGGTCATCTGGAATTTCTGGAGCAGGAGTTTCTGGCCAACAAGGAGAAACATCTGACTTTGAAGCAGCAAGTCCTCAGGCTTGAATCCCCAGCTGTCAGTGACTTTGATCCAGAAAGGTCAGATTCAAACTGTGTGAGGTGGAGGGTCAGAGGAGAGGCCCCATCAGGTGGGATTCTGATGTGATTGCTGATTTTGTGCTTCGAGAGCCACTGGCATAGGGTCAGTAAAGACTGGGCCCCCAGTGAACAAGTGTCCCCCATACAACAAGTACAGGATTTTGCCATGTATAATGTGTTCCCATGTACAATGCGCACCCACATTTCTGGCAAAAACTTTCAGGGAAAAAGAAATCTTTTGTTTTAACTTTTTAATTCAAATTTATATTTGTTTACATTTAGGTACTTGGTTTTTTTTTTTGTATTTTAAAGGAATTTTAGCATTGATTTTTTTTAACATATTATGGTACAAGAAATGTTATGTAACAAATAATTACAAAACACAAGAACAGATGCAAGGTATAAGAAATTGTATGTACTGGTAACAAATTTACGATATTTACACATCATAGAAGGCCAAGAACTCTTCATTGATCATAAGTTCAACAAAACTGATTATCGTATTCCAGGGTATTATTTTGCATACAGATATCATTATTGATTTCTAGAGTTACACTTTTTTTTTTTTT